TTTGGCTCCTGTGCTCCTGTCAGCCTGCAGCTGACAGTGAGGGCTGTTTCAAACTGTCACAGTAAATTGAGTTTCATTGTTTCACATTAGCTGCAGGCTAATAGCGCCACCTGACAGCTCGGACTGGATAAGACTGGCTGCCCCTCAGAAACATAAAGTGTGATTGTCAGGCTGGTGGGGCTTCTTTACTGGAGATAAACATGTTAGCAGAAAGGATCAGAAGCCTGATAAAACCCTCAGCTGCCTTCAGTGTTTCATCTTTGCAGTTGAAACCTGATCAGTGTTTCTGGACTCACAGACACAAACAGACACGTTTGTTTTAATGTTTGATGGGAAGTTCACGGAGCCCGGAGAAACCACGCTCCTGCTGCGAGGTTATTCTAGAGACTGAAACTGGACTGGAACTAAACCGAGACGTTTCACTTACAGGAAATAAAAAGCAAAGGAAACTTTTGAAACAAAAAAGAGGAAATTCAAACACAAGCTATGGATTTTCTAGAAATAAAGATCTGCTGTTGCTGTGAAGTCGTGCCGCCACATCCTTCATGGCTCGTGTCTGAACTGGCGGCCCTGCGGTTTGTTGCTGCTGTAGGTGAAGCTGGTCTGGGAGTTCTTCTCCAGCTCCTTGGCCAGGTTTGAGCTGGTGGCGACACTGTGCTTGTAACCAAACTGTGGAAATAATGATTCGTCGTGTTTTAGCCAAACTCTGGGTTTAGTTAAAAAGTGGGCAGACAGAAGGCATGATGGGAAGAGTCGAGGAAAAAATGATACTGTAGGTACATTTACGTGGTGCATGAGCAATTCTATGTTATCCTTAACTTCAGGTGTTTTACAGGAAAAGAGACACAAATTCTTCTGTAACAGGTTTTAAGTACTCTGTAATTTCCTGGTAATTTAGCCAAAAAACAACAACATATCATATGTATGCTGTACTTTTTTCATCACAGGGCTTATTATGAAGCATCTGAACCTTGTCTAACTTCTGGGTATTTTACAGGTAAGGAGACGCAAAGCACTAAAATTACTCACACTATAATTTGTCTCCTTGGCTGGAAACCACAGAAAAGGTGGTACTACATAAAATTACTTATACACTGAAATCACAGTATTTCTTTGTTTCCTGTACAAACCTGAACTATACCTCCTTTTTCTAGTGTACGCTTGTTAAAGTATTTGTTGGTAAATATAATTATGCTGTCATTTCAGATGAAATAAGTTGACGTTTAAATTACAGGGGAAGTACGCCCTCAGTCGCAGGCTTTAAGGTCCTGAAGGACCCTCCACGTCGTCTTCTTACTGTGACTTGTTTGAGTTGCAACTAAATAAGAAACGAAGAATGAAAGACAGTAAAACTGAAACTAATAAAAACTGAACAGAAAAAACACTGATTAGAAAGAAAAGTAATAAAGCTGTTCGGCTGTAGGAGCACAGAGATCACTGCACAGACACTGAGCTCATTATTAGGAACTTTAGTCACGTTTAATATGAACATGCATAATCTGGAAGAGCAGATTTATGAGTGGAAATCAGAAAATAATTAATATTAGCTCAATAAAAACACATTTAAAACGTAATAATAACTGGAGATAGTGACGTCATTACTGTGCTGTAATTCGTGAATCTTCCAGCAGATGTCAGCAAAGCCAAACGTTTAACATGTGGCTGCTTCACTGTGCCGATAACACAAAGATGAATAGAAATAACAGAAATAACATGAATGTGTCGTTCATGGTTGACAGAGCGGGTGTCCACGAACTGTGGACAGATTCGACGCCTTATTTTCAATCATAACTATGATTAATATCATAAAATAAAATGTTCCTTTATCATCATCATCATTTCAGCCTCGGGAGTGGACGTCCCAGCAAATTAACTCATAGATCAAACCAGGAAGAAAAACCCTGAGAGCCCCTCTGACTCTACAGGCCTCAGTCAACAGGTTAAAGGTCAAAGTTCATGACAGCACAATGAGAAAAACTGACCCTGCAGGAGAACGCCTTTTCCTTTAATAAGAGCATGGCAGCACAGCCTGGGTTTGCAAAGCTGCACCAGAACAACATCCTTTGGACAGATGAGACCCGAGTGGAGACTTTTGTC